CTTCTTGTGCTAAGAAGTACATGTCCACATGTGCAACCCTCAAAACAACTGTGGAACAAAGGTCTGGTCCGTGACTGGTGGTCGCACATAATAATCCTCCTGGAGCGGCGGAATCTTCACGTCATTCGGCTCAATCAGATCCTCATACGGGATCAAGCTGAGCAAGTGCGCCATCACACTCAGCCTCGCCGCCTTCTTATCATCCGACGGGACCACATACCACGGTGCCTGCTTGATATCACAATACCCAAACATCACATCCTTTGCGTACGAATAATCCGCCCACCGCGCCCGTGACTGCAGGTCCATGTCGCTGAGCTTCCACCGCTTTTCCGGCCGATCCAGCCGCTCCTTAAACCGCTTCTCCTGCTCCTCGGGACTCACCGAAATCCAGTACTTGACCAGAATAATCCCCGACCGCACCAGCATGCGCTCAAACTCGGGGCACGACCGGAGAAACTCGCGATACTCTTCGTCCGTGCAGAACCCCATGACCCGCTCAACCCCCGCGCGGTTATACCAGCTTCGATCGAACAGAACCATTTCGCCCGCAGCCGGAAGGTGGGCTACATAGCGCTGGAAGTACCACTGAGTGCGCTCGCGGTCCGAGGGGGTTCCCAGAGCCTTGATGCTGCACACACGCGGGTTTAGCGGCGCCGTGATGACCTTGATAATACCACCCTTGCCGGCCGCGTCGCGCCCCTCGAATATGACCACGACGCGCAGGCCCTTCTTCTTGATCCACTCCTGCAGCTTCACCAGCTCGAGCTGTAATGGGGGGCGGTGGGGGAGTGGGGGGGAAGGGATGGGGTTTAAAGGGATGTAAGGACCTCTAGCGCACGTGCGGGCCCTTCTTCTTGTTCCACTCCTGCAGTTACTTTCAAGCGCCCGACCTGGCAATGGGGGAGAGAAGAGAAGAAAGGAGGGGGAATGATAAAGGGGGGAGGTTGAAGGCATGAAAAGGGTTAAGGGGCCCTTCTGCTTAAACACTCCCCCCCTGGCATGACAACACTCCGACGATGAGCACCACATGAGGAGTGTTAAAGAGGAGAGGAGAAGAGGAGGGGGAGGAGGGGGAGGGAGGGGGAGGAGGGGAAGCAGGGGAAGGAGGGGAAGGAGGGGAAGGAGGGGAAGGAGGGGGGAGGAGGGGGAGGAGGGGGGAGGAGGGGGAGGAGGGGGAGGAGGGGGAGGAGGGGAAGGAGGGGGAGGAAGGGGAGGAGGGGGAGGAGGGGGAGGAGAGGGAGGAGAGGGGAGGAGGAGGGAGGAGGAGGAGGAGGAGGAGGAGGAGGAGGAGGAGGAGGAGGGAGGAGGAGGAGGAGGAGGAGGAGGAGGAGGAGGAGGAGGAGGAGGAGGTGGAGGAGGAGGAGGAGGAGGAGGAGGAGGAGGAGGAGGAGGAGGAGGAGGAGGAGGAGGAGGAGGAGGAGGAGGAGGAGGAGGAGGAGGAGGTGGAGGAGGAGGAGGAGGAGGAGGAGGAGGAGGAGGAGGAGGAGGAGGAGGAGGAGGAGGAGGAGGAGGAGGAGGAGGAGGAGGAGGAGGAGGAGGAGGAGGAGGACATAGCTTGTGCAAGTGAAGCTCTCATAAGAACCAAGTTCAAAATGCCTACACCATTTCCCCAAGTTTCGCGCACATGGTGGTGCATTGTGCTTCAAACGGAGTGTGCTTAGAATAAGTTTTTAATATATTTTCTATCCTCTTCCTCTTAAACACGCAACAAACTTGTGTACAACCCCCCCCCCCCCCCCCCCCCCCCCCCCCCGTTTCTTCCTCTCCATCCCCCACCCCTTTCTCCTATACCCTCCCCATTTTACCTAACCCCGAAAAAACACCTGGTACCCGTTATAAGCTCACCTGCAGCCTCTCCAGTTCGTCCTCGTAGTTGTAGTTCTTCTTCTTCTTCCCCTTATCCTTCTCCGCCGCCTTGGCGTGCGACGAAAGGTCGTCCGGGTAGTGCCCCGTTGGCTCCACCCCGCGGCTGCGACCGTTCTTGTCCTTCTCCTTCTCCTTTTTCGACTTTTTCTTCCCTTCGCTGCCCGATGAGCTGCCCGTTTCGCTGCCCGAGGAGCTGCCCGAGGAGCTACCCGTCACGGGGCTTGTCACCTCCTTCGTCTCGCTCTCCACCTTCCCCGCCGCTACCTCCGCCTTCGTTCCATCCTCAACCTCCTCTGCCGTGTCGCCCTTTTTCTTCTTCTTATCTCCCTTCTTCTTCCCCTTTCCGCTCTTTTCCAGATCGCTCAAATAAAGATCTTCGTGGTGGTACACCCGAGGCGCCCACCCGCCGCCGTGAATCGCGCCGGCTTCGTCGCCGTCGTCGCCGCCGGGCCTGCCGCCGCCCACCGCGGGGATCTCGAAGTCGTCGAGTCGCGGGCTTTTGGTAGACGAGAGCGCGACTCCCGCGGGCGCGTCGTTCTCGGGCTCGTCCCCGTCCTTCTTCGCACGCGAGGTTACCACTCGAGCGGCATTCCTTCGCCTGCTTTCGCCAAGCCGCAGGAAACCGGGCGGCGACGAGTGGCCAAGAGGACGGCGAGACGCGAGAAGAGAGTGCGACGGCCTTTCGGATAGCCCAGGAGATGCGGAGACGAAGAGCGTCGCAGGCATTATTCCCGGCTTGAGTGTACCAGAAAAAGCGTAGCAACTACGAAGTGATTACTGGTAAAGCTTTCTCACTTGCCAGGAGCGCAAGGTGAGTTCCGGTGCAATGCAACAACGGTACAGTCAAGGTCAGAGGTGCCTTGGAGTCGACTCAAAAGTCACCGCGAACAGCAACAACGGAAAGAAAAGCTTGCGGGAGCCAACTGAAGCCGAAGCCGCTTCGAGGGACGAGTGCGTTGGGTGCAGACAGAGATGCCGCAGATTCGAGTTGAGTTGCGGTGAATGCAAAGCAAGCAGAGGAGGCAAGCGTGTGTAAAGCGCTTGGTCTGATTTCCTGGGAGGTTGGAATTTTTGCTGCTGCTGATCTTGTCGTTGCTTCCTCACAACACAGTGCGCGAATTCGTCGGAAGGACGGATGACGAGTTTCTGCGGCGAATGAGCAAGTACAATACAGTGGGAACTGAGGATTGGTTCCTGGTTTGCGAAACTTAGGAGGTGGCGTAGAGAAACTTACGAAATGACATTTATGATTCTCACTTCTGTTCACAGTGCTGAAGGAACTCTACACTCGATGTTTGCAGCTCCCCATTGTTCCCAGCAAGAAAAATGCGTCCCACATTTGGAATGGATATCTATCTGGTCAAGCGCTCTACACTGTTATAGGCAGGGACCAACTGGTTGACAGCGCGGAAGCGATGCGCTGGCGCTGACAAGGCAGCACCTTATTGGTGATACCTGACGTGTCAAACACCAATGAAAACGGGTACTTCGAGATCTTTGTGCGTCCTTGCACAAATCATGCGTGCTGCGTATATTCGTACGCCGGTATGCGTGGCGAGTGTATCCTCAATATATGCCAGCAATAAGAGGGGAGGGAGCATGAGAATTGTGCATGCTCCTGTGGCAGCAGGAAAAACCAACTGCAGAAGGGAAATGGGACACTGGTTGAGTTGAGAGAGATATCGGCTTCTGTTGACAAATAATGGAGTTGTTAGTCTACCTTGAGACCAAAAAAAATATCTTCAATGTGTCCTGTTTCTTGCACGCGTCCCTAAAACTGCTTTCACTAGTGTGGGGTCGTTTTCTTCTATGACAACCAAAAAAAATATCCTACCTAAACAATGCGGTCGGCTTGCAAACTAGAAGAGCCCGAGAGAGCGCTTTCTCTGGTCCTGCTTCCACTTGGGCATGGCATAAAACTTACCCTTGTCGTACCCAAATATGCGGAGGAAATCCGCCTCTGACAGGTACGACTGGACGGGGGAGGGAGGGGATAAAGAGGAGGGTAATTGTTGAGGAGCTTTGAGGAATAGAATCTCCGAACCAAGGCATCCAGGACGGGTAGGGAGGGAATCAGAGAGCCGGAAGCGTTGATTTTGGTTAGGCCAAGGGGACTGCAGGGTGGGGGGACTGCAGGGCAGGGGGACTGCAGGGTGGGGGGACTGCAGGGCAGGGGGACTGCAGGGCAGGGGGACTGCAGGGCAGGGGGACTGCAGGGCAGGGGGACTGCAGGGCAGGGGGACTGCAGGGCAGGGGGGCTGCATGTGAGGACACGGGATAGGGGAAGGCACTCGAGGAAGGGCAATGGAATGGAGGTGGCGGATGACAATGTGAGTTGCAACTGCGACTCTTCTGACAGTCTCGGTTGTTGAGAATCCTCCTGACAGTCTCGGTTGTTGAGAATCCTTCTGACAGTCTCGGTTGTTGAGAATCCTCCTGACAGTCTCGGTTGTTGAGAATCCTCCTGACAGTCTCGGTTGTTCAGAATCCTCCTGACAGTCTCGGTTGTTGAGAATCCTCCTGACAGTCTCGGTTGTTGAGAATCCTCCTGACAGTCTCGGTTGTTGAGAATCCTCCTGACAGTCTCGGTTGTTGAGAATCCTCCTGACAGTCTCGGTTGTTGAGAATCCTCCTGACAGTCTCGGTTGTTCAGAATCCTCCTGACAGTCTCGGTTGTTGAGAATCCTCCTGCGTGTACGATTGTGTCGCCACACCATTGGCTGCCACCTCCTGCCTGCCCTTCCGAATCATCGCGTTCCGGCACGCAGCAGGATTCTCCATGATTGCAACTCACATTGTTGTCTTCCATTAACGATCGACACAACCCCTCAACTGCTGCCACTCGCTCTTTTCAATCCCCCCCCCACTCTCCCCGCCCTCCCCCCTCCCTCCCCCACTCTCACCTCTCTTCTTGTAGTGTCAATCCCTCGAATCGGGTTCTTGCTGTCAATGATCAGCCTGTCAAATGAATAACACACCCCCTCCACTGCTGCTTCCCCATTCCCTGCTCCTCCTGCTCCTCCTGCTCCTCCTCCTGCTGCAGCTGCACTGTCACTGCTGCCACCGCCGCCCTTCTTCCCCTCCTCCTCGCCATCCTCGCTATCATCATCCTCGTTATCCGCTTCATGCACCGAGCCTGAGAGAGAATTTCCCCTGGCGAGCTTGAGAGGCTCTGTGAGGGCCGGAGAGCGACGGGGAGGGGGAGCGGACAGGGAAATGAGTTGTATGGATGAGCCTTCTTCCCCTCCTACTCAAAACTCGACTTATCACACACGAGGGGGAGTGGGCAGGGAAATGAGTTGTATGGATAAGCCTTCTTCCCCTCCTCCTCGCCCATCCTCACTATCGTCATCCTCATTACCCGCTTCATGCACCGAGCCTGCGAGAGAGTTTCCTCTGGCAAGCTTGAGAGGCTCTGGGGGCGAACGGGAGAGGGACGGGGAGGGTGATCAGGGAGAAGGGTGGGTGGGGAAGGAGGGGAAGGAGAGGGGTGGAGAGGGGTGGAGATGGAGAGCCGGGAGAAACATAGGTTGTATGGATGGATGAGGCAGGGCTATCATCATCCTCGTTACCCGCTTCACGCACCAAGCCCCAGAGAGAGTTTCCCCTGGCAAGCTTGAGAGGCTGAAGAGAGGCAGGGGAGATGGTGAGCGCAGAGAGAGAGGGCTTGGCGGAGGGGGAGTGGTGGCAGACCTGAATCCAACCTAACACCTGTAGACTGTGCCGCAGCACTTACTGATTCTTGAGGCAACTCGACTGTCCCTCACCACTCACCCAGTTTCTCCCCTTTGAGCGCGCCAGTCAGCGCAGCCATGGCAGCGGCTCGCTGGGTTGAAGGGGACGGGCCGGGGGAGGGCCCCCTCCTGCCCGCCAGCCCCTTGATGAGCGCGGGGGAGATGGTGAGCGAGGAGAGGGTGGGCTTGGCGGAGGGGGAGTGGGGCGTGGAGGAGGAGCGAGGGGTGGAGGAGGATGACGTGGCGGATGGGGATTGGTGCGTCAGTGCTGCGAGCCGACGCTTGGCCGTCTGGGGAAGGTACGGGGAAAGTGGGGAACAGGAGCGGATGCAGGGTTGGGGAGGGGAAAGTGGGGAACGGGAGTGGACGCGGGGTTGGGAAGGGGAGTTTGTGGAGGGGAAGGGATTAGAGCGGAACGGGAGGAAGGTAAGGAAAAGAGGGGATTATGGATGAAGGTTCAGCAGATACTGATATGAAATGAAGCCCCTCTTCAAGCAAGAAATGAAGAGCGGGGTAGAGGAAAGGAGGAGGAGGAGCAGGGCAAAGGAGGTATGGGAAGAAGAACGGGGGAACAAACAAAGTGAAGCGTGAGGGAGGGCAGCATGTGAAGGGAGGGCAGGGAGGGAAGGAAGGGATGGCAGGGGCAGGAAGGGAGGGATTCACATCAGAGACCTCGAGCGATTCTCCCTGCAGCAACGCCAGCTTTGCTTTTGAGAATTCTCAAAAGCAACACCAACAGGGAGGGAGGGAGGGATTAGGGTTTGAAGGACTCACATCGGAGAGCTCGAGCGATTTTCCCTGCAGCAGAGCCAGCTTGCGGTCATAGGGGTCTGCTAGGGTCTGGAGGGGTGAGGAGGGACAAGGAGCATAACAGCAAGGGCAAGGGGGGGAAGCGAACAGGGATGCAGGGAGCATGATCAGAAACCAAGATGGGGAGGAAGCGATGTGCCCTGCAGCAGAGCCAGCTTGGGGCCTGCTATGCTAGGGCCTGGTGGGAGAGAAAGAGGAAGTGGGAGGGAGGGAAGCGGGTGAGTGCCGCTGCCAGCTCTGTGCTCAGAGCTCTATGCGACACGCGCTGCACATAACACATGACACACGCATTGAGGTCGTTTTTTAGGCGCCTCAAAAAAGAGCCCTATGCATCACGCGCTGCACATAACACATGACACACACGCACGCACCACATTCGCAGCAGTTGCCCTGAGCTTGACTCATTGCAGTTGAAGCGTGTTCTCAGTGGGGGTGGGGAGGGAGTGCAGTGAACACGGGGGGCTCGTACCCCTCCACTCCACTCCACTCCACTCCACTCCACTCCACACTACTCCAGCCTTGCAGGTATTGCTGATGCACATACACATGCCACACACACCACATTCGCCCATGCACACTCACCACGCTCGCAGCATGGTCCCAGAGAGGAAAGGGCGCCGTGAACATCAGAGGCTTGTGCCCCTCCACCACACTCCACCACTCGCACCACCCGATTTCCTTCAAAAAAAGCTGCCCCAATTGCCCTAACTGTGACTTACCGCGCTCGCAGCATGGTCCCAGTGGGGGAAGAGCGCCGTGAACATGGGGGGCTCGTACCCCTCCACCACTCGCACCACCGTGGTGTCCTTTGACCGCCCTTCCGTTGCTGCCACTCGATCCAAGTAGCGCTGCAATGAGGGGCCAAAGGAGACAAGATGGGGGCGGAGAGGGTGGAAACAAGGGAGGGTGGACGGACATGGGGGGCTCGTACCCCTCCACCACTCGCACCACCGTGGTGTCCTTTGACCTCCCCTCCGTTGCTGCACTCGATCCAAGTAGCGCTGCCACAGGGAGAAAGAGGGGAGGGAAGGGTGAGGTAGAGTGAGAGGTGCACCACACACATGCAAGTGGGGGGCTCGTACCCCTCCACCACTCGCACCACCGTGGTGTCCTTTGACCTCCCCTCCGCTGCTGCCACTTGGTCTAGATAGCGCTGCCACAGGGAGAGGGAGGAAGGGAGGGGCGCGGGAGAGAGACTTGGGAACCCTACCCCGCCTTCAAGTCTTACCAGTATCAACCCCTCATAGACTCACCCTCACCAGCGCATAGTTGACTGCCTCTTTTACCAACTCATACGAGCTAGCTACCGCCTTCAACGTCTCTCCACCTTGCAGCACCTCACCAGCGCATAGTTGACTGCCTCTTTTACCAACTCATACGAGCTAGCTACCGCCTTCAACGTCTCTCCACCTTGCAGCACCTCACCAGCGCATAGTTGACTGCCTCTTTTACCAACTCATATGAGCTAGCTACCGCCTTCAACGTCTCTCCACCTTGCAGCACCTCACCAGCGCATAGTTGACTGCCTCTTTTACCAACTCATACGAGCTAGCTACCGCCTTCAACGTCTCTCCACCTTGCAGCACCTCACCAGCGCATAGTTGACTGCCTCTTTTACCAACTCATACGAGCTAGCTACCGCCTTCAACGTCTCTCCACCTTGCAGCACCTCACCAGCGCATAGTTGACTGCCTCTTTTACCAACTCATATGAGCTAGCTACCGCCTTCAACGTCTCTCCACCTTGCAGCACCTCACCAGCGCATAGTTGACTGCCTCTTTTACCAACTCATACGAGCTAGCTACCCCGCCTTCAACGTCTCTCCACCTTGCAGCACCTCACCAGCGCATAGTTGACTGCCTCTTTTACCAACTCATACGAGCTAGCTACCGCCTTCAACGTCTCTCCACCTTGCAGCACCTCACCAGCGCATAGTTGACTGCCTCTTTTACCAACTCATACGAGCTAGCTACCGCCTTCAACGTCTCACCACCTTGCAGCACCTCACCAGCGCATAGGTGAGTGCTTCTTTTTTCTCCTTGTCAGGTACATTAACCCCCCCGTCCATGCAAACACCTCTGTGTGTGTGAGCAGCAACTCAAACCACCATGCCACCGCTGTCAACTCATGCCTCGAGCCTTACGATGTCACAACCGTGTGCCACCCCGCCTTCAACCTCTCACCACCGCTCACGAGGGCATAGTTGAGTGCTTCTTTATTTTACCTGTCTGGTACGTTGACCCCCGTCCATGCAAGCACCTCGGTGTGTGTGTCTAGCAGCATCACAAGTGGTTATTGCTTCATGCATTGCGTGTGCACTGTGCACCACCACTACGTCCTTTTAAAAGCGCTACTGTGTTCAGCTCCTCACTAGCCTCTCAACCCCTCACTAGCCTCTCAACCCCTCACCACCACCTTGCAGCACCTCGCCTCACCACCTTGCAACCACTCACCAGCGCATAGTTGAGTGCTTCTTTTTTCTCCTTGTCGGGTACGTTGACCCCCGTCCATGCAAACACCTCCGTGTGTGAGTCCAGCAGCATTACAAGTGGCTCAAGATTCATGCCTTACAAATGCACCTCACCTCACCACCTTGCACCGCCTCACCACCTTGCACCGCCTCACCACCTTGCACCGCCTCACCACCTTGCAGCACCTCACCAGCGCATAGTTGAGTGCTTCCTTCTTCTCCCTGTCAGGGACGTTGACCCCCGTCCATGCAAACACCTCCGTGTGAGAGTCCAGCAGCATCACGTCTTCACTGATCAGATCGTCCTGACTGTACCCCGGCACCTCCAGCACCTGGCAGGTGGGGAGATTCGACGACAAGGGAAGATGTGGCAGTGTTATCAAAGGCCGATGAGTGTCCAGCCCAGCAGCATCACGTCTTCACTGATCAGATCGTCGTGACTGTGCCCCGGCACCTCCAGCACCTGGCAGGGAATATGAGAGGGGAGCGGTGAGGATTGAGGCTTTAAGGCTGATGCATCAGACGAGCTCGCAAGCACCTCCACACCTCCGTGTGAGAGTCCAGCAGCATCACGTCTTCACTGATCAGATCGTCCTGACTGTGCCCTAGCACCTCCAGCACCTGCACGGTTCGTGGGAGGGCAGATGCCACACGGGGAGGGGAGATGCCACACGGGGAGGGCAGATGCCACACGGGGAGGGCAGAGAAAGTGGCACAGTATTCAGGTGTGTTAGAGCTGATAAACACCTCCGCATGTAAGCGTCCAGCAGCATCACGTCCTCACTGTCCAGATCTTCCTGGCTGTACCCTGGCACCTCCAGCACCTGCAATGGATGGAAGGGGCGGATGGGGAAGGTCACCACAGGGGTTCAGTCTTCAGAGGCGCCTCAGAGGGAATACGTGTCCCCCGGCTGACTGCACCCAGCAGCATCACATCTTCACTGATCAGATCGCCCTGGCAGTACCGTGGCACCTCCAGCACCTGCACAGTGGGGAACGTGGGGAAGAAATGACAGGGAGGGGATGTGAGGTGCCTCGGAAGCAACACGCACCTCCCGGCTGACTGCATCCAGCAAAATCACATCTTCATTGATCAGGTCGTCCTGGCAGTACCGTGGCACCTCCAGCACCTGCAGGGTGAGGTGGGGTGGGGCGATGCCACATGGGGAGGGGAGGGCAGGGAGAACGGCACTGTATTCAGATCTAGCAAGCACCTCACTCAGAAGCTAGGGAGAAGTACCTTGAAGCTGACCAGAACCCCTGACTCTCACTCACCCCCACTATCGTACCTTGGAAACCCCTCAAACCCCTTCCCTCTCACAGTCATCATCATCATCATCATCATACCTTGAAGCTGTCGCCACTGCCCGTGACTTGAAACAGCCTGCCGTCCCGTGCTGCCTCCCTGGCCTCTTTAGAAGCGGGGTACTCCCCCTTGCTGCCCAGATGCTGCCAGAACACGGACGTCTCCTTTCCCTCCACCACTTGCTTCACCAGCGCGCCGGGCTGTAGACAAGAGGGTAAGAAGGCAGGGGGGAGCCGGAGAGGGAGGCCAAGAGAGGAGCGAATGGGAGAAAATGAGATAACCACGGACAGACCACTTGTGCGAGTACCACAAATCAAAGGAGAGGGAATGCAAAGTCATTTGAGACCGAGAGAGAGAGAGAGAGAGAGAGAGAGAGAGAGAGAGAGAGAGAGAGAGAGAGAGAGAGAGAGAGAGAGAGAGAGAGAGAGAGAAGAGGGGAGGGGGGGCCTGGGGCTGGGGTAGTGCGGGGTTAGCTGTTGTTTTGCTGTAGCCTTGCTGTGAGATTGCTGTAGCCTTACCATGTGTGTACCTTGCTGACATTAATACCAAGGACCGTTCGAGAGAAGAGGGGTGAGTTGATGGGCTTATGGTATTGAGGTTATCATGGATAGAACTGCATGTCTGTACCCCTGCTGAATTAATACAACGGACCATTTGAGAGAGAGAGAGAAAGAGAGAGAGAGAGAGAGAGAGAGAGAGAGAGAGAGAGAGAGAGAGAGAGAGAGAGAGAGAGAGAGAGAGAGAGAGAGAAGGACAGATTGAGAGAAGACAGAGGGCAACCCAAGCCGACTTTTGAGTCGACTCAAAACTCGACTCATTACACGAAGACAGAGGGCAACCCAAGCAAGATTATCACCTTGATCCATTTCGAGACGTCTCAAAAAATGTTATTACCTTGATGAATTTGGCAGCAGCAGCGACAACATCCTTGTCAGCCGCACTGCTGCTAGGCATGATCATAGTGCCCCGGCGGGTCGGGTCGACCCGACCCGACCCAGGTTTTGACCCGGGTCGGGTCAGGGATTTTGACGCGCTGACCCGGCCGGGTCGGGTCGACTCGAGACCCGAAACCGGGTCGGGTCGGGTCGGGTCGGGTCGGATTCCGACCCGACGTTGCACCCGACTCGGTTTCGGGTATCGCGCCCTAAGTCGGGTAGAGTAATTGGCCTGACCCGACATTTCCCCTCTCAACAAATCGAAGAAAAGCAGATCGCGAAGTCAATGTCTAGGGTTTCTTTGTTCCCTCGACGTTGACATCGATCTGCAATACCTAGGTAGCTAGCAAGCAATATTTCTCAAGCACTACTACTCTCTAAACCTGCGCCAATGTTTAGGAACACCAATACTAATGTTTCCATGTTGGCGTAAGGGTTTTTAACCTAGCGCGACCAGGCCTAGATGTTCGATTTTATAGTAGTAGTTATTCTTAGCTCTCACAAGCGACTAAATTCTGGCCCCGCGTTCTAATGGCCCCCTGCGCGCCTACCAGGCCCGCATCAATAGGGACGCGACCCCCATAGTCTAGGGCTGCGCACTTCCTCTAACGTCGCGACTCCACTTTAAGCAAACGTTCAATCTTTGCAACACTGGACAGTAGTAAGGAGAACCTCTTACACTGCATATGGGGTTCTGGCCCGACCCGACCCGACCCGGCCCCTACCCGACCCGACCCGGGGGCGGGTCACGCCTGACCCGGCACCCGATACCCGGGTCAGGCCAGGATTCCTAGAAGTTCCGACCCGACCCGACCCGACCCGGAACCCGGCTGGCCCGCCCAAGTCGGGTCGGGTCGGGTCGGGCCTAATGATCATGCCTGACTGCTGCCACAGATAACTCTGGGATGTTTCACCTCGACTAGATAGATTTCATATTAAGTAGAAAAAACATCACCTTGATAATCTCGGCCGCAGCTGCCACAGCATCCTTGTCTGCCGCACTGCTGCCATTGCCAAGCCACAAAAACGGGCTGGACGGCGTCTGCAGCAAGAAGCAATCCTCTGAGTTCAGCGACTTGGCCACTGGATCCATCTGAACCGCTTTGAACAGCGCTGCACCACCCGCGCCAGTAGATGCCGCCCCCCGGGCACGCACGCGGAAAAGAGCCACGCCTGCCGGGTCGTATGTGTCGTCGGAGCCGCCCTGGGCGGCGATCTTCGCCTTGTAGCTCGCACTGCTGCCGCCCTGGTTGGGTGGAGTTGGTAGGGTTTGACAGGTGTGCGGCGGCAGGCAGGGGAGTAGACGGATGGGTGGGATGGTGTGGCATGGAATTGACAGGACAGGCAGTAGGGGGGTTTCCCATAAAATTCACACTTGGAGATCAAAAGTTGGGTGTGGAGATGGATGGGTGTCCCTCCCAACCTCGTTTCTTTTCTTAAGCCAAAAATCGGAGCTTGGCATTCAAATCGACTCGGGATGAGCACGATGACTTTACCTTCATAGAGTTTGAGAATTCCCAGAAGTGATTGATTCGGCCTTACCTTGAGAAAGAAGAGGTGTGCCTTAAACAAGGAGAGCAACAAGGAGAGGTGTGAAGTGAGACGGTTCCCATGTGCCTACAATATTCATCCTGCCTTGTATATCCATCTTGAATCGACTCCAACCAGGCCAGGCCTTACCTTGAGGAAGAAGAGATGGGTTCTGAACAAGGAGACGAACTGCTCGGGTTCCCTCCCCTGCACCACCCGCACCTGTCAAGTTGAAAGGCCAAGGGGGAGGCGGGCAGGGAGGGGAGGGGATGCAAAAGAGGTAAGGGAGAGGAAGGCAGATGGGTAAGAGAGGAAGGCAGATGGGTAAGAGAGGAAGGCAGATGGGTAAGAGAGGAAGGCAGATGGGTAAGAGAGGAAGGCAGATGGGTAAGAGAGGAACAGTTAAGGGAGAAGCCATCAAGGGAGAAGCCATCAAGGGAGAAGCCATCAAGGGAGAAGCCATCAAGGGAGAAGCCATCAAGGGAGAAGCCATCAAGGGAGAAGCCATCAAGGGAGAAGCCATCAAGGGAGAAGCCAGTGAGTGAGTGGGTTGGATTGGAGGCAGTGGGTGGGTGGGTTACTAGACAGACAGACAAACAGACACCACATGGCACATACCAGAGTGGCGTTGCCTCTGAGAGCGTCGACTGCCCTCTTAGCAACACCAAGAGCAGACGTGCGCTCCTCCTGAGTGCTGTCTCGGCCCATCCACAGGAACACCACGTATTCAAGCGTGCGACAACTGTCCTTGTGGCCACAGCAAGAGCCGACGTGCGCTCCTCCTGAGTGCTGTCTCGACCCACCCACAGGAACACCACGTACTGAAACTTGCCCTCGCTTACACCTCACATCAGTACCCTGTTACCGGGCACACACTGCATGCGTGCGTACATACATACCAGAGTGGCGTTTCCTCTCAGTGCGTCTACTGTCCTTGTAGCAACACCAAGAGCAGACGTGCGTTCCTCCTGAGTGCTGTCGCGGCCCACCCACAGGAACACCACGTATTCGAACTTGCGGTCGCGCGTGAAGGTGTATTGCACAACGTAGCAGTCGCCGCTGTGGAACCGCCCCATGTCCTCTGCTGCTACTAGGGTCTTGTTGCTGCCGTTCACCCTCCACACCTGCTTCACAGAGAGGGGAGGAGGGTGGGCAAGTAAAGAAGAAGACAACTTATCTACATTCAACTGCCACACCTGCTTCTTAAGGAGGGGAGGACGGAGAAGATTTTGGTCAGAAAGCAGCGTAGTTGCTCGGCTGCAAGAGGAGCTCGGCTGCAAGAGGAGCTGCATGTGGTGGAATGGAACTGCTGCTCCTATTGCAATTATGGAAATGCTCCTATTGCAATTATGGAAATGCTCCTATTGCAATTATGAAAATGCTCCTATCGCAATTATGGAAATGCTCCTACCGCAATTATGGAAATGCTCCTATCCCCCAGTTATGGCAATGCTCCTATTGCAATTATGGAAATGCTCCTATTGCAATTATGGAAATGCTCCTACTGCAATTATGGAAATGCTCCTATCGCAATTGTGGAAATGCTCCTATCCCCCAGTTATGGCAATGCTCCTATTGCAATTATGGAAATGCTCCTATTACAATTATGGAAATGCTCCTATTGCAATTATGGAAATGCTCCTATTGCAATTATGGAAATGCTCCGATTGCAATTATGGAAATGCTCCTAATGCAAATCGCAAATATGGCAATGCTCCTATCCCAATTATGGAAATGCTCCTATCATCAAACTGAATAGATGAGGGTGGCAACTCTGTTGCTTCCCTCATGCCATGGAAATGGAACGACTTGCAATACGCTTCAATGAACTGAGACGATGGACTGAGGCGCCTCAAAAGTCATGCGATGGAAATGGAACGACTTGCAAGACGCTTCAAAATTCCCTTTTGAGAATTCTCTTTTGAGAGTCACTTTTGAGAACTCTCAAGACGCTTCGAAATTCCCTTTTCAGAATTCTCTTTTGAGAGTCACTTCTGAGAATTCTCAAGACGCTTCAAAATTCCCTCCATAGCAGCACAGCACTTGCCTCCTCTGGTCTACCTCTCCCCCCCCCTTCGCTCTCACTATCCGCCTCCTTGCCTCACCTTCATCTCGCCAGCAACATCAGCGAGAGGAGGCGGTGGCGGCTCTGCTGCCCCTGCTGCTAGTTGTTTTTTTTTATTCCCAGAAACTGACTAGTCTTTCTTTACCACACCCCCCACTCACCAATTCCCTTTTTCTTGCCTCGTCCTCACCTTCATCTCCCCGGCAACATCAGCGAGAGGAGGCGGTGGCGGCTCTGCTGCCCCTGCTGCTGCCTGCGGCCCCCTCCCCACTGCCTTGTCCACCATGCCTGACTGCCGCAGCATGGCTGTTGGGGGAGGGGAGAGATGGAAAAAGGAGGGGGGAAGGTGGTGGGGTGGGGAGAGGCGTGGTTGGGTTCTAATGCACACAAGTGCCTCTGCTGCTGCCACTTCTGCACCCACCCCTGCCCAAAACTGCCTTGTATCCAACTGCCAGCGCATGGCAAGCAGTTGGAGACAGGGGGCAAGGCAAGCAGCTTTGGCAAGCAGCTCTGGCACGAGACAGAGCTGCTTGCCACACCTGCGCCCCGCAGAGGGATGGAGGTTCGAGTGGCTGCTGTTACGCTGAGGTGCTTTTGCAGGGTGTAATGGATGGAATGGATGGAATCATCTCAAAGAACCTCACCTGCGCCCTGCTCCTCTGCTCTCCTCTCCGCTCGCCTTTGAGCTTGCTGGCCCTGCCTTCCCACCGCTCATGCGTGTCAGTGTCACGAGCACCGATGGGATAGAAGGATGGTTGGTGGTTGATGATACAAATGTCTTTAGAGACACCTCAAGAGCCCGCCTCCCCTCTCACCTTTGAGCTTGCTGGCGCCTCCCTCCCCACCGCCCATCACAGGGGCGAGAGGCCACTCTGCAAAGGCCGCCTTGAAGGCTGCTGTCTCGCCTCGCTCACTCATGCGTGTCACTAGCACTGAGGGGGGGCGGCTGGACATATGCGCCTGGTATGTAGTAGGGACGGGGAAGGTGGGTGGGGTGGGTCTTGAGTGGGCAGTCTACAAGCATGACTGAGTGGGCCTTGAAGGCTGCTGTCTCGCCTCGCTCACTCATGCGCGTCACTAGCACTGAGGGGGGGCGGCTGGACATATGCGCCTGGTGGAAGGTAGGGACGGGGAAGGGAGGAAGGAAGGGAGGTGGGGGGAGGGGGGAATGGGGGGAAAGGGGGGGAAGGTGAGGGCTTGTTGAATGGACAGATTACAAGCAGGGATGAGCGAGGCTTGAAGGAGAAGCACTCAATCAAACCACACTCTCACTCTTCTTCACACCACACTCACCCTCACGCTGCTCACTTCTCACACCATTCACTCACTCAACCCACCCTCACAGTCCTCGTACCACTCCCCCTCACACCAGTCCTCCTCCACTCCTCGCACCACTCCCCCTCACACCACTCCACTCCCCCTCACACCACTCCTCACACCACTCCTCACACCACTCCTCACACCACTCCTCCACTCCTCACACCACTCCTCACACCACTCCTCCACTCCTCACGCCACTCCTCACGCCACTCCTCACGCCACTCCTCCTCACACCACTCCCACCTCACACTGCTCACCTCTGCAGCCACACAGGCCGCCCGCCTGTCAGGAACGGTGCTGAGCTGCCAAAACCCTCACGAGTCACACCACTCACTCACACCCCCTCCACTCACTCATACCCTCACGAGTCACACCACTCACTCATTCCCACTCACACCACTTTCCCTCACACCACTCACCTCTGCAGCCACACAGGCCGCCCGCCTGTCAAGCACGGTGCTGAGCTTCCCGAACCACACAAAGAGGTTCGGGCCCGTGTCAAGCAGGTAGCACTTGCTGCTCTCAAGCAGATTCTTCTTGAGAGGCGCCTTGGCTTGCTCTTGCAGACCGCTGGAGGTGACGCTGGAGAGGAGTAGGGAGAGAAAACGGGGAAGGGGGAAAGGGAGGAGCAATTGGCAAAGCAAACCACAAAGGTGGTGTGGCACTTGCTGCTCTCCAGCCGACTATTCTTGAGAGGCGCCTTGGCTTGCTCCTGCAGGCCGCTGGAAGTGACGCTGGAAGGGAGTAGGGAGAGAAAGGCGGGAGGGGGGTAAGGGAGAGAAAGTTGGGGAAACAAAGGAACATGGTAGCACTTGCTGCTCTCCAGCCGACTCTTCTTGAGAGGCGCCTTGGCTTGCTCCTGCAAACTGCTGGCAGTGACGGGGTGGAAAGGGGGGAACAAGTGGTAGATCACACTGCCAGGAAGGAAAAACTGACTCTGGCATGCATGCACGCACGCACACACACACGCACACACACACGCACACACACACGCACACACACATGCATGTGCACTCACGGGTAAGGAGTGGGAGGCAAAGCGGCGGCATATACGACTAGGTATATTCAGTGGCATAACACAAGCACACATGTGCACTCACAGGTAGAGCGTGGGCGGCACGGCCTTGGCCTCCACATCGTCCTCACTGACACTCTTCTTGGCGATGGGAGCAAAACAAAGAAGTGGTATTCCCTACCTTCTGGGTAGGTACATACCCACAAGCAACCACACATGTGCGCTCACAGGTAGAGCGTGGGCGGCACAGCCTTGGCCTCCACATCGTCCTCACTGACACTCTTCTTGGCGATGGGAGCAAAACAAAGAAGTGGTATTCCCTACCTTCTGGGTAGGTACATACCCACAAGCAACCACACATGTGCGCTCACAGGTAGAGCGTGGGCGGCACAGCCTTGGCCTCCACATCGTCCTCACTGACACTCTTCTTGGCGATGGGAGCAAAACAAAGAAGTGGTATTCCCTACCTTCTGGGTAGGTACATACCCACAAGCAACCACACATGTGCGCTCACAGGTAGAGCGTGGGCGGCACAGCCTTGGCCTCCACATCGTCCTCACTGACACTCTTCTTGGCGATGGGAGCAAAACAAAGAAGTGGTATTCCCTACCTTCTGGGTAGGTACATACCCACAAGCAACCACACATGTGCGCTCACAGGTAGAGCGTGGGCGGCACAGCCTTGGCCTCCACATCGTCCTCACTGACACTCTTCTTGGCGATGGGAGCAAAACAAAGAAGTGGTATTCCCTACCTTCTGGGTAGGTACATACCCACAAGCAACCACACATGTGCGCTCACAGGTAGAGCGTGGGCGGCACAGCCTTGGCCTCCACATCGTCCTCACTGACACTCTTCTTGGCGATGGGAGCAAAACAAAGAAGTGGTATTCCCTACCTTCTGGGTAGGTACATACCCACAAGCAACCACACATGTGCGCTCACAGGTAGAGCGTGGGCGGCACAGCCTTGGCCTCCACATCGTCCTCACTGACACTCTTCTTGGCGATGGGAGCAAAACAAAGAAGTGGTATTCCCTACCTTCTGGGTAGGTACATACCCACAAGCAACCACACATGTGCGCTCACAGGTAGAGCGTGGGCGGCACGGCCTTGGCCTCCACATCGTCCTCACTGACACTCTTCTTGGCGATGGGAGCAAAACAAAGAAGTGGTATTCCCTACCTTCTGGGTAGGTACATACCCACAAGCAACCACACATGTGCGCTCACAGGTAGAGCGTGGGCGGCACGGCCTTGGCCTCCACATTGTCCTCACTGACACTCTTCTTGGCGATGGGTGCAAAGACGTGGCAGGCATATACTAGCTACACACACACACGCACAGGGACACACACACTGCGCTGAACTCACAGGTAGAGCGTGGGCGGCACTGCCTTAGCCTCTATGTCGTCCTCACTCGCACTCTTCTTGGCGATGGGAGCAAAGCCGCCAAAGAGGTCCCAGAACTCGCTGGAGCTCGCATCGTCCGCCTTGCCGTCATCTGGAGGAGAGGAAGAGGAAGGGGAGGGAGGAGGGAGGCAGAGCATGGAGAGAAGCAGGGGGAGGGGCGTGCAACTCTTCTTGGCGATGGGAGCAAAGCCGCCAAAGAGGTCCCAGAACTCGCTCGAGCTGGCGTCGTCCACCTTGCCATCGTCTGCGATGTAAAACGAGGGGACGGGATGCGGAAAAAGGGGGGTGGGGAGGCGGAAAAAGGGGGGGTGGGGAGGCGGAACAGGGGGCATGGGGAGGCGGAACAGGGGGGGTGGGGAGGCGGAACAGGGGGGGTGAGGAGGGCAGGAAGGATATGTCAATCCAAAACCCTCAAACCTGAAACCCAAAAAATACTAAACCCTGACCAGCACAGAGAGTGGCGACTGGCGCTTGAGCAGCAGAGTGGCATCGGTGGCTCGAACTCGTTCCTGCTCTCAGGAGGCAGCAGCTAAGGCGCACTTCCAAGCAGCTGAGTGGAGTCGGTGTTTGAAAATTCTCAAAAAGGAGTCGGTGGCACACAATGGGCTTACCTGCAACCGCACCAGCTCACCTTGAACAGCAGCACAGGCTTACCAATCACAGCGACGGGCATGCTGCCGTTAGGTGACTGGCTCTTGAGCAGGAGAGTGGCGTCGGCGGCTCGAATGCGCTCCTGTTTGGCGACATTGGCACCGTTGAACTGGTAGAGCTTGGAGGGCGCTTGCAGCACAAACACGTCTGAGTGGTTCAGGAAGGAGCGCGCGAAAGGCACCTGTGGGATGGGACGCAGAGGGAGGGGTATCGGATGAGGGGTGGAGGCACACTCAACGGGGAAATTTGGGGTGAAGAGCTTGGAGGGCGCTTGCAGCACAAACACGTCCGAGTGGTTCAGGGAGGAGCGCGCAAAAGCGACCTGGGATGGGGAAAGCTCAAAGAAAAATCGTTTAGTGAGAACGCCTGGCCCCTTTCCCCCACGAGGGGGATGATGCAGGGGCGTAAGTAAGACAGGAACTGCAGCGACTCGTGCTGGAACTGTGCCATACCCACCTGACCTGATGCTAGTCCCACTATCGGTGCAACTTTCGGTGAGATTTCTCCTGCCTCTCACCTGTCGCACGTGCAGGAACTGTCTGCCTTTTAACCTGGTACAGCCTCGGCTCTCCCCACTCGCCCCGTCCGCAATGGGGATAATGCAAGGGCGGAAGTAGGACAGGGAGAGCGGCGACTCGTGCCCTGCTGCTAGCCCTCCTCTTCCCAACCACCCATTGTGAGACCCCCTCACTCACCTGTCGCACGTGCAGGAACCGTCTCCCCTTGACCTGGTACAGCCTCGGCTCCCCAGTTGGCCCGTCCGCAATTGGAATGACACAGGGGCGGAAGTAGGACAGGAACAGCGGCGACTCGTGCCCCTGCTGCTCGCGGTGCTGCGTTGACTTGCCGCCCACGGCAATATCTAGGTCCAGCGCCTTGAGCGCTGCCCGAGACGCGTCCTCTGGTGTGGCTCCCTTGCCCAGCCAGTAGTGCACGGCGTGGGTCACGCCGCCTGCCGCTTTGGAACCCGAGATCTGAGGGAGAGACAAATGAGGGAAGGGAGGATAAGCAGAGGATGAAAGACGTGTGAGACACGTGAGAGACAGGAAGACGCTTCCTCTGGTGAGGCCCTCTTGCCCAGCCAGTAGTGCACGGCGTGCTTTGAATCCCGAGGTCTGGGGGAGAGAGAAGGGAGGGAAAAGGTGGAAGGGAGAATTTTTTTAGGGTGAGAAAAGAGACACAGCGAGTGATTTTTGAGAATTCTCAAAAATCACATGTGAGGGTGAGAAACGAGACACAGAAAAACGCGTCCTCCGGTGTGGCTCCCTTGCCCAGCCAGTAGTGCACGGCGTGAGTCACGCCCCCTGCCGCTTTGGACCCTGACGTTAGGTGGTGAGAGAAGGGAGGGACGGAGGGAATGAGACACGTGAGAGTGTAAGGCTTGCCCAGCGGGAGAAGCATGGCGAGGGTGATAACTAGGTGACTTTTGACTCGATTCAAAAGTCACCTCGTTACAGTGGCACACGACACATTTTGAATCAACTCAAAAACGAGACGCGTGAGAGTGTAAGGCTTGCCCAGCCGGGGAGGCATGGCGTGGGTGCCCGTGACGTTGCCAGACGATGTGGATAACTTCTAAATTCCAGACGATTTAACTTCTGATGCCTAAGGTTGTGGAATCGAAGAACCTCACTTAGAAAGGCTCAGGCACAATGTAGGTGTTGGTGTTGCCATACCTGGCCTACAGAACGAGAACTACTTTACCCTAGACAGATTGAAGTGTAGCTAGGTTAAAATCCGCGTTATAGCGCACCTTGAGCACAATGTAGATGTCTCGGGTGTAGAACTTGCCATGTTCGGCCTTGGGAACAGGAACCACCTTGCCCTGCTCCAATCGCCATACGTCCAATCCCCTGAAAACACGGAACCGCCACGTCAGCAGGTCAGTACCATAACGAAACCAGTCACGGGAGCCATGTGCGACGGTATTAGTGTTGTCCCCGTTTTAGGACAATGGTCGCGGTATAAGACAATGACCGCGCCTTGTCACTCAATGTCCCCATTTCAAAACAATGTGCGTCCTTGGAGAAGGAGATAATGCCAGCATTCCTGTCATTGATTAATAATCGGATGTAAGATGTCTGACCGACACGCAATGAAGCATCAATGCTCGGAAAAGACACGCAATTTCGGCCAGATAGTCTTCGGTTCATGCTTTATCGGCCCGAAGGCAGGCATGCGGCGCTACTAAACAGCAAGCTTTCCAGTTCCTACGCACGCCGATGTGTATACTACATCAAGAAATCAGAATTCCCTTTCGCTGGAAAGAACGCAATGTGCGGTTGCAAGAACGCGGAAATTTCACCAGCACGAGAGCGGGCACTTACGTAAGCGACGTCATGGACGGGAGAATGGAATGGTCGGTATGAGAGTAACGGCGAAAGACCGAGTCTTACGCGTGGGGGTTCCATCCGAGCGGGTCTTACGGTTTATGGCTGATTCCTTGAAATGCGGGGTCCACATCTTTGGCCGACATGGCCAAGCGTCCAACCAGTGGTAGCAACGGAGCAGACTATACCGAATCACCTAACAGGTAGGCCGGCACAGTTATAGGGCTTTCGACACGGGCTGGATAATGAGCTTCAAGAGCTTCGGGGTGAACGCCAGGCGAGACGAATCAATGTTATAGACATTCACTAGACGTCGAACTGAACTGAACACCTAAATTAAACACCTATCCAGCCCTAGTGGAAGCACCTAGTAACTAGTCCAGAAAGAAATGGCAGCCAACAAGTTCTAGAAAGAAATGTGGTGGTGCGCATGCCTTGCGGGGCAGGTGTAGTGGCGTGCGTGACGTGCTGGCAAGGGTGCTCCGCTGGTCTCATGCAGCGTTTACACACAAGTATGACTACCACGAGACATTACCATCTCCATTTGGTTCACATGCAACTCGTTCCAAGTTCTGAATCTGTTTAAAAAATAAACGTTTTGCCACTGAATGAAACTGATTCTCAGGGCGACGTCAGGTTATACATTTCACACGCGCTTCCAGTTCATGTATCCTGTTTCATGACGGTCCAGCACGGTGAAAAGCGATTCTCGACAATTACCGCTCTGCACCTTGTTAAAACAAAATTTACTGGAGAGGGCGTACAAAAAGCTGTACAGCCTGACGTCGCCCTCAGAGACGGAGAAGGTTTGCGCCCTCGTAATTCTCACGGTTGGTTAGCGCGCGAACGGGGATGGGGGGACATGAGCGAAGCCTACGCGAAACATGGCGCCCACGACAACGGCTCAGAGCAGGAACGTGGCGGCGAAGCGATGCGTTACAGAGTTCGTACGACAACATACACGAGTTATAAACGGTACCAATTACCTCCGTCAAAACACAAGTGGAAACAATTAGCTCTAGAGTGGGTGCTAGGTACAGTGTCATAGGATCTATAAAAATTGCCTACAGCTGTGGTGATAAGTGTTTCTGAAAGCACCGCCAGTCATACTCCACTTGTCGCGAGTAACTCAACGCCACCTCCCACACAAGCTCCTCAAACTCGTTCTTAGCCGCTGCCTTAGACAGAAGTGCAAGCTCCTGGCACAATGCTGGCCGTTGATCTACCGGTGGGTCAGGATCTAGCAGACTAGCAGCAACAGCATGCTGTGATGCTAGTATGCGCGCCCAGTCCTCTGCAAGCTCCACTAACCCCTCCTGTAGTTTGGTTGGACAAAGGGGGGGTGGACCGTGGATGGAAAGAGCACTGCGTAGATCAGCCTGATAGCAGGTTGACAGGGACACCAATTTGAATGGGCAGTCTGCAAAACAGATAACGAGCAACAGGTTACCACATACGGTAAGCCCTACCAGCACACGGAGGGTTATCTTGTCGACAACAGCGACCCACCTGAGCTGTGAGGACGAACCCACGTGGGTAGTGAGGGCAAACCCACGTGGGTGTGTGAGGGCAAACCCCCGTGAGTTCTGAGTCGACTCAAAACACTCATGTTGCTGTCACGTGCAGCAGTCATGGCACCCAAATGGTGTTCACTCAAACCCACGTGAGTGATGAGAACGAACCCCTTGAGTGCCAAGTAAAAATCAAAACACCCAAATGGTGTTACCTATGCTGCTGCTACATGCAGTCATGGCACCCAAATGGTGTTCACTCAAACCCACCTGAGTGGTGAGAGCAAACCCCTTGAGTTTCGACTTGACATCTGCAGACACAGCGGCTGGGTACTCCTCCTCATAAGGCGACACGTCTCTCACTGAGTACCGCCCGGCAGCACTCGGGTGCACACCCTCCTGCACGGAGGAACAGAAAGGAAATCAAGGCATTTTATACGCAATGGCTGTCATTACTCTGAGAAGTGGGGTTCCTCTGTAACCTCACAGCAGCCGGGTACTCCTCATAAGGCGACACGTCTCTCACCGAGTACCACCCGGCAGCACTCGGGTGCACACCCTCCTGCCAGGAAGAGCAGAAAACGGGATTAAAAGGGCGTGTGCACATTCAACTCAGAGGATTCAGGCGAAAACAGTGCATTTGCTGTGGCATTGCTGTGCACACCCTCCTACATGCCCCTTCACCCTCCACCCACACTCCACCCCTCACCTGCAGCTCCATCCATCCAATGCTGCTGCCGTCATGTGAAGAGCACAGAGCAGTGCTGGCTTCCAAGAAGCGATCCGTCTCGTGGGGGAAGCGGTGGCAGCCCCACCTCCCACCTCCACCTCTCCACCTCCTAACCTCACACCCTCATTTGCACCGGCCCTCACCTGCAGCTCCATCCATTCGATGCTGCTGCTGTCGTGTGACGAGCACAATGCAGCGCTGGCCTCCGAAAGCAGGTTTGTCTCGTGGGGGAAGCGGTGGTCCCCACCTTACATCTCCGTCTCTCACCTGCGTATTCTCCCCTCACCCACACCTGCATCCCTCACCTTCGTTTCACCCCTCACCTGCAGCTCCATCCATCTGATGCTGCTGCTGTCATGTGAAGAGCACAGAGCAGCGCTGGCCTCCAAGAAAGCGGTCCGTCTCGTGGGGGAAGCGGTGGCAACCCCACCTCCCACCTCTGTGTTCTGTCCCTCAAATGCATTTCCTTCCCTCACCTCCACCCAATCTCTCACCTGCAGCTCCATCCATCCAATGCTGCTGCTGTCATGTGAAGAGCACAGAGCAGCGCTGGCCTCCAAGAAAGCGGTCCGTCTCGTGGGGGAAGCGGTGGCAACCCCACCTCCCACCTCTGTGTTCTGTCCCTCAAATGCATTTCCTTCCCTCACCTCCACCCAATCTCTCACCTGCAGCTCCATCCATCCAATGCTGCTGCTGTCATGTGACGAGCACAGAGCAGCGCTGGCCTCCAGGAACCGGTCCGTCTCGTGGGGGAAGCGGTGGCGGTACGCGCGGCGCTCATCAGGGTTCATGAAGTGGTAGGCGGTGGGGCGCTGCTGCATGCGCACGTCCAGCACATGTAACTCCCCGCTGCTCGTTTCAGTCTGAACACATGTAGATGTACCGAGGGGGGAAGAGGGGGGGGGGATTGAGGTGAGATGAGGTGAGGTGAGAGAGTTGTGATCTGCCCTCGGCGCTCATCAGGGTTCATGAAGTGGTAGGCGGTGGGGCGCTGCTGCATGCGCACGTCCAGCACATGTAGCTCCCCACTGCTCGTTTCAGTCTGAACACATGTAGATGTACCGAGGGGGGAAGAGGGGGGGGGGGGGGGGATTGAGGTGAGATGAGGTGAGGTGAGAGAGTTGTGATCTGCACTGCTGGTTTCAGTCTGAAAACATGTAGCCACGGGGGAGAGATGAGTTGTAATGACGTGAGATGAGGTGAGGTGAGAGAGTTGTGATCTGCCCTCGGCGCTCATCGGGATTCATGAAGTGGTAGGCGGTGGGGCGCTGCTGCATGCGCACGTCCAGCACATGTAACTCCCCACTGCTGGTTTCAGTCTGAACACATGTAGCCACGGGGGAGAGATGAGTTGTAATGACGTGAGATGAGGTGAGATGAGGGGGTTGTGCTGTGCGCTCGTCCGGGTTCATGAAGTGGTAGGCCATGGGGCGCTGCTGCATGCGCACGTCCAACTCGTTTAGCTCGCCACTGATGGTTTCAGTCTGGCGGTTAGAGGGTGAAGAGGCAAGAGATGGGAAGAGATGAGCAGCTGAGCATGCTATGCTCTGCACTCATACGCGTTCATGAAACGGTAGGTAGGCTGTCGGGAGCTGCTGCATGCACACAGCTATATTGAAATCACTTTTGAGAATTCTCAAAAGCACGTCTGAACTCCCCACTGCTCGTCTCAGTCTGAACACACAGGCCAGGGTGGGAGGTGGGATGTGGTGTGAGAGGGATGTGGTGTGAGAGGGATGTGGTGAGAGGGATGCGGTGTGAGAGGGATGCGGTGTGCACTTGTGGGGGTTTCATGAAGTGGTAGGCTGTGGGGCGCTGCTGCATGCGCACGTCCAACACGTGCAGCTCTCCACTGCTCGCATTAGTCTGGCGATTAAGAGGGTGAACAGATACAAGATGAGAAGAGATGAGCAAGTGGTGTTCCACAGGAGGCTAGGTCGGCGTGCATGCTGCGTGCAAGCCCCTTGGAAGCCTTCATGTGTATATGAGGTGCGTACAAAATACACCCACCAGCGCCATGTATCGCTAGACGCCACAGGAGGCTGGGTCAGCATGCACGCTATGGCCGAGCGCCGCCACACACAGCACAACAGGTGACCTGGTGAGATGACATGAGTGCATTCAAACACCCACCAGCGCCATGTATCGCGACACGCCACAGGAGGCTGGGTCAGCATGCATGCTGCGAGCAAGCCCATTGACGTTGACTCCATCGGCATACAAGGCGAGCACGCCTTGACACACACTGAACTGAGGTGCCTCAACCAATGTACCCACCAGCGCCATGTATCTTGAAACCCCGCAAGAAGCTGGGTCAGCATGCATGCTCCGAGCAAGCCCCTTGACGTTGACCCAGTCGGCATACGAGGCGAGTGCCTCCACCCACTGAGGAGTCTCCCACAACTTACCAGTGCCATGTATCGCGACACGCCACACACAGCACAACAGGTGACCTGGTGAGATGACATGAGTGCATTCAAACACCCACCAGCGCCATGTATCGCGACACGCCACAGGAGGCTGGGTCAGCATGCATGCTCCGAGCAAGCCCCTTGACGTTGACCCAGTCGGCATACGAGGCGAGTGCCTCCACCCACTGAGGAGTCTCCCACAACTTACCAGTGCCATGTATCGCGACACGCCACACACAGCACAACAGGTGACCTGGTGAGATGACATGAGTGCATTCAAACACCCACCAGCGCCATGTATCGCGACACGCCACAGGAGGCTGGGTCAGCATGCATGCTGCGAGCAAGCCCCTTGACGTTGACTCCATCGGCATACGAGGCGAGCGCCGCCACCACGGCGTCCTCCTCAAACTTGGGGCACGCCTGCAGCTTCCCGGGGTGCTCCTGGAACGCCCACCGCCCGCCCTCCTCCACGCACCTGAGGGGTCAGAGGGGGAAGAATAGAATGGAGTATAAGGAATTTCTACTTCCCTATCTTTCTTCGCATCAAGTCTCGGGCACAGGACAAAGGACAGGAGGCGAGGGGGCAGGAGGGGCTGGGGGAGTAAGGGGAGTGTGCATAAAGGAGCGGGCGAGCGCCGCCACCACGGCGTCCTCCTCAAACTTGGGGCACGCCTGCAGCTTCCTGGGGTGCTCCTGGAACGCCCACCGCCCGCCCTCCTCCATGCACCTGGGCGCAGAGACAGAGGAGGTTGGAAGGGGGGAAAGGATGGGGAGGGAGAGAATGGGATGGAGTATAAGGTATTTCAGCTTCCTTATCTCTGCATCCTCCTCCTCAAGCCTCGGGCACGAGACAAAGCACAGGAGGCGAGGAATGTGATGGAGTGGGGTGGAATGGGATGAAATGGGATGGAATCGGATGGAATGGGATGGAATGGGATGGGAAGGGATAGAATGGAAAATGGGGTGGATTTGAATGGGATGGAATCTAATGAAATGAAGTGGTATCAAATGGAAAAGGATGTGAGTAAGGATTAAGCCATTACTCATTACTGCTTCTAATCCTTGGGGTACGCACACACACCAACTGTGAAGTTGGGATGGATGGGGTGAAATGCAACGCGAGCAGGGGAGGTCTCAAAAACAGCTTATCTTAAGTGTGTTACGCACCATTTCTTCAGAAGCCGCCGCCGGCTGTATTCTCTCTCCACTATCGCCAAGAATCGCACCAGCCGCCCCTTCATGTTCCCCCCGGACAACAGCAGCACCTGCGACAGCTTCCGCGCGTTCGCCCCCTCCGCTCCACCTTCCCCGCCCCCTCCGCCCTTCACCTCCCCCTGCTTGAACCCCATAATCGTCTTCAGGTACTTCCGCGCAAAGGCCAACACCACCGCGCGCAAAATCGACTCTTCCGCCGCTCCCCCGCCTCCGCTTCCGCCTCCGCCTCCCGCAGCTCCGCCAGCGGTGGAAGCCGCCCCCGCCCCCGCCGATCCCGCCGCCGCGAGATTCTCCCGTGCGAGCAGCACGATGCTCGTCGCGAGTCGCCAGACGTCGTACTGGTAGTCTGCGATCACGGATTCGTCGGTGAGCGACAGTCCGTACATGGGGCCCTCGCTGTCGCTGCCCGACGCGGTGAACGACGACGTAGAGCAGTCGCCGACGATCCATGTCACCGTGCGACTGTTGCCGAAACGCGTCAGGCGCTCGTCGCCGCTATGAGATCGCGAGGGGGAATGCGTGGGCGGCGGGTGAGGAAGCAGGGATAAAAAAATGCGAGGAAACGGGTTCCCCGAAAAAAACAAGATCAACCTAGAAACTGGCCGGATCCGAATGCGCTCACCTTAGGTCAGCCCAGAAGAAGGTGAGCGCATGAGAGCATGTGAGCTCAGAAGAATAACTATCTACCACCGTTACACGCTTACGTCCTTACTGTAAATAATTTTATCACCCTTCCTTACAAGAAATTCCTCACCTTAGGTCAGCCCAGAAGAGGTGATTGGTTCCTTGGAAGAAGGAAACCGGCGAGCGGCCAATGAGCGCATATTTATGCGACAAGGCGGACGCCGGGAGGCCCTTGTTCCACTCCTCGACGGACGCGATCACGTGCATCTCGCGATCCGACATGGGGGGCCGCGCCATGCCGTTCTCCTGCAGCACCGCGTCGCTCATGGCTGCTTGGAGCTAAGGGTCGAAAGGTCAGAGAGGTAATCTCAAGGTCGGAGGAGTGATCTCTCGTTACGCTGCGCAGAACTACGGGTGGGAGAGAGTCGATTTTTTTGTCGGCTCAAAAATCGACCTATCACACGAGGTGATCTCTCGTCACGCTGCGTGGAGCTACGGGTGCGAGAGAGGATCTTCTCCTGACGAGGCTGTGAGAGATTTTGCGCTGTGACAATCAGAGGGAGGTCATTGGCGCATTTGTGGAACGTGATCTCATGAGAAATAGCAGCGGAAATGTTTGTTGACGGTCCCAATGCTCACTGAGAAGGGATGTTATGCACCTGAGTCAGTGATTTGAACGAGTCTAGCGGAAACAGGAAACGGATGCGGGAAGCTCGGGAATGACAACTTTCCAACAAGAAGTACCATAAAACGGACTATCAAAAACCTAGATTACTCCCGACATCGCTTCACGCCTCCGCTGGAATGCCGATTATTGTTGCAGTCGTCGGCGAAATAGAAGCCAGTAGAGGTGATTGTCAGTCCCAGAGCTAGAACTTTGACTGGCTGTGTGAGTGGAATCTGGGAAACGAACTAGTCATGGCAGGCAAAAATCTATGACTGACAGGTACGTTGCGGTCACAGGCGGTAAAAGACGTCAACCGTTTGTTAACCCTGCAAACAGCTTTTGAACCGCACTGGACAATCCGTAGGGTAATGTGCTGAACACCTTTTACAAGTCCCAGTGTTTACTGACAATCTCAATGCTGGTAGACGAAGATCATCTTGAGAGCGTGTTCACATTAGCGAATTAATGGTGATTCGCGTGAATGTAGTGGAACAATTCTGCAATCTGACCAAGCACCCCTAGTCACCCCAAGCTTGTCGGACTCCTCACAGAAGGAGCACTAGTCACATGGGGTCGCTGAACATCGTTGCACGGAGGCAGTTGCGAGGGAATGAAGACGATTCGCTCAGAGACTGAGCCCAGCGAAAACTCGATAATAGCAGATTGACGTTGTAAATCTGCCACGCCAAATGATTCGATTATGATATGGAATCGTAAACATGTTAGGAATTTGGAGGAATTTTGACCAAGGACATTCCCACCAGCCCCCTCGCCTCCCTTCCCTTCACCTCAAATGCGTCGCTTGATGTAACAAACAGCCTGCCTGATTTCATAAAGAGGGCTATCGTCGTCGTTATCCATCCGTTTGCACTCCAAGCTCCCAGTGGCGTTGCCACGCTGCACAATGACTCCTACGTCGCACCTCGCTCTATTGCGAGTAACACTTTCACCATCGGCATTCCAAGCATCCCGCCATTCCGGAACCCATACCGCAGCGAATCAACCATGCGCCATAATATTTTCGACAGAAGCACACCCGTTAGCACGAGTCCATTCGTTACTTGATACGCCAGGGGAGAGACACCCTCGAACAGCGCGGTCGCCGCGTGATGCGCGGCGTGAAATGCGCCGCGACATGCGGGTGCGAATCTCGCGCATGGACGGAGCGCAGGGACCTGGAAAGCCCGGGGGAGCAGGAGAGGCGAGCAGCCAGTCAGACGCGGACGCGTGGCGGGAGCTGCTGCGGGGCGGGGAGGACGTGGCGCAAGTCATGTCTGACATGGCCAACATCGTAAGGGGGCGTGCTGGCTCGCAGCACATTTATTAGAAATTTCAATTCGCAGCGTTGGAACCTTGAACCCTGAACCCTGAACCCTGAATATCTGTCGCCCAGTCCCTGGGGTGAGGGCTTGAACCTTGAATCGGGAGCTGCTTCGGGAGCTGCTTCCGGGGCGGGTAGAACTTGGGAGGAAGAGCAAATGGCAACATGTATCATTCCTTTTTCTTATTTCTCCCCCTTTTGCATGCACGCACAACCCACACAATTCCACCCCAGCTGGACGAGATATCAGGCCTGGAAGGGCGGGAGGAAGAGCTGGCAGTGCAGATGGCAGCAGCGGCGGCCATAGCTGGGCGGGTCAGCACTCTCGACCAGTCGTTCCTGGTGCAGGCTTGCCCAGCGTTTGACAGCAGCATCGTGTCCCTTTCTCCCGCCTTGTGCCACTCCCTTTCTGCTGGACGAGATATCAGGCCTGGAGGGGCGGGAGGAAGAGCTAGCAGTGCAGATGGCGGCATGAATCGTGTTTCATTCTTCTTTCCCCTTTGCATCCACAACAACCCACACAACCCTCACAACCCACACAACCCACACAACCCTCACAACCCACACAACACACACAACCCTCACAACCCTCACAACCCTCACAACCCTCACAACCCTCACAACCCTCACAACCCTCACAACCCTCACAACCCACACAACACACACAACCCTCACAACCCTCACAACCCTCACAACCCTCACAACCCTCACAACCCTCACAACCCTCACAACCCTCACAACCCTCACAACCCTCACAACCCACACAACCCTCACAACCCTCACAACCCACACAACCCTCACAACCCTCACAACCCTCACAACCCTCACAACCCACACAACCCTCACAACCCACACAACCCTCACAACCCTCACAACCCTCACAACCCTCACAACCCTCACAACCCTCACAACCCTCACAACCCTCACACCAAACTCAGCTGGACAAAATATCGGGGCTGGAGGGGCGGGAGGAGGAGCTGGCGGTGCAGATGGCAGCAGCGGCTGCCATAGCGGGGCGGGTTACCACCCAGGAGCGACCAGTCGGTCCTGGTGCAGCCTTGCCCTGTGGTTGACCACAGCATCGTGTCGTGTTCCTTCCTCCCTCGTTGTGCCACTCCCTTTCAGCTGGACGAGATATCAGGCCTGGAGGGGCGGGAGGAGGAGCTGGCAGTGCAGATGGCAGCAGCGGCTGCCATAGCGGGGCGAGTCAGCACTCTGGACCAGTCGTTCCTGGTGGCCCTTGAGTTCATGATGGGGCAGGCTGATGCCAACAACGACTCTAAGGTGAGTTAAAAGTAGGGGCCGGGGGTGTAGCAGTCACCACTAAGATTTTTAGTGAGAGTGCTTTATCAGTCGTTCCTGGTGGCCTTTCTAACGTTCATTTTGGGACAGAGAGGCTCTAATAACTCTCTTGCGAATTTTAAAAAGCGGCACATTTGGTGGTCAGGTGAGAATATAAGTATGTGGCCTCATTTTCATGTCGATCACATCCAACCCATCATATCATGAAAGAGTGGGTGAGGGATCTACCTGACATTCAGGTGCACGAGAAGATTAGGTAAGACAGACATGTTTGGGGTGACTCACGATAAGGCTACAGGGGAAAATGTTGTGAGATTCCGAAAGACCTTTAAATCAGTAGAGTTAAAAAATGTGTTGAATGGTTTTGAAGTTGGTCATCAAGTAAATTGCTCCATGTTACATATTTTCTCCCACCATCAGTTTCCCTTTGCTCATTCGTTCACTACGCCAGAGCAGCGGATAAGCACTTCGTGTGTGGAGAGAGGAACGAGCACACTTGCTCATGCGTTTCTTACCATGCGAACAATGAAAGGTCAACAATGAGATAACGTCGTCGATGTATCTTGTTCATCTTGAAGCTCAAGGCCCAAATTGCAGAGCGCGCGGGGCAAGATTACTAAAGCTGATGAGAGTGATGTTTTGAGTGTTGTTTGGCTGTGAATTGTGGTGACGTGAAGTGCGATGCAATTTGATTGGCCAGCAGTTTTTTTGTCGAATAGGAGAGAAGGAAACACCAAGAATATTGTGAGTGCAATTTGGGACTCGAGAACCATGTTGGGTGCAAAACGTACTTTGCACATCAACCTGTCGCCTATTCGTCGAGCAAGATGACATGTTGAAATATTTTGTTTTGAGGTAATTTGTGGTTTGTGTGATGCGCATTTGTGTGCTTTTCATTTTGGCGTTTACGGTTTATGAATCGCCTTAGCGGTTCATAAGTTATGTGCATTTTAGTGTGAGGTTGCATTCATGTGTTTTCATCGTGTGTGTTTCGTGTTGTTCGTGTCGTGTCATGAATGTGTGTGAAGTTCCGAGTGATCACGTACTTTCATGAGCCTTCGCGTGTTCATGTCTGTTCGCGTACTGTTCGTGTAACCTTCGTGAGCGTTCATGTATCTTCATGTTTGTTCATGTGCGTTCATGTTTGTTCATGTCTATTTGTGTTTCGCGCATGAATGTTCCAGCTTTGTTTGTGACTTTTTATGTGTGTTCATTTGAGTGGCGAGTGTTTTTGGGTGCTCGGATTTTTTGTGGCGCTGGTCAAGGTAAAAGTGCGCGATAATCTGGATTGTGCGTGTGGGTCCAGATCTCGCGTGTGGGTCTTGAGGGCCCACGCGTGTGGCTCGCACTGTTGCGAGCGTGCGCAGGGCGCATGTCCTGGCATTGTACAGCACGACCATTTCGGCTGGTCGTACATGATTGCGCACCTGAGGGGTGCGCGTGTGTTTTGGGGGGTGCCGAGGGATCCCGAGGGGTGCTCAGGTTTGACTCGAGATTTCAGTTGTACAACTGAATCTCGAGTCTCGTCTTTTGTGACGTGGCACAGAGAACTTTCGCGGGAAAGCACCGCGCCTAACCGGACAATTCGCTTCACAGGTATAAAACGGAAATATCCGTTTTACAACTGTAAACAGTGGGAAAACGGGAATTCCCGCACGAGCGTTCATGATTCTACATGTGCGTTCGCGAGAGGACTCAACAGGGGAATTTGGCAGACATGAGATTGAAGATAGTTATTTCAAGGACTCGGATCAAGTCAAACGCAGCGGAAATTTGGCAACCGTTTTTGCAGACAGCAAGGCGAAGTCCTAGAAATGCAGTTTATCAATTGTTTGATATTTTCCTTTGCATGCGTGTTAGGCGAAATATATATGCGTGCTTGTGCGAAGTTGTAATCAATCCTTTGAGTGAATATTTTGCTCTATCATCGTATTGACGTGAAGAGCTACTTCTGCATACGAGCCAATTCGTCGTGTAACGCTGCGCAACTGAGTTTGGGAGCGTTTTATTGCACACGACCGAATTTACACTTGGTGCGTCCCTCGACAAACACGGACCCTTGGTTAGGGGCTGGCTTTGCCAGGCACCCGAGGACCTTTGGAGGTGACTCCGTGGAGACTAACTGAGTGGTAATTAAAGGTGTGCTTAGAGCTTCTAGATCCCAATAATAGTTAACAAACCAAACCGAGTTTCCTTGGGGTTTGCTGAGTCAGCGAAAACCATAAGGGTGTAGCGAGAAGCTGGGCGAAGCTAAACAACCCAACTTCAACAAAGTCAACCTTACTCTCCCACCACCCGAAGGGCAACCTTAGTAAGGTTGAACAATTTGGGCCTTGAGCTTTAACCTTTCATTGTTCAACAGTGAAATTTGTTACCTCCTCTCCCCGCATACAAAGTGCTTGTTCCACTTGCTTCGACATGATGAACGTGTGAGCAAGTGCGAATTAATATTTTAAAAAACATGGGAGAAAAAAAAAAAAAACAAAAAAAAAAACAGTTTCCTGGCGAACTTCTGAACGATCTGATATGTTTTTAACACACACGTGATGCAGGAACCTTTTGAAATCTCACCACATATTTTCCTGTAGCCTTGTCTCTCTCGAGACACTCCAAAGATGCCTGTCTCACCTAACCCCTTCCCATGCACCTGAACGTCGGGCACATCCTTCACCACTCCTTCATGTTATAACGAGAATCGGGGAACTACAAGTCTGAATTCTCTAGTATTCGGCACCCATCGTCTTCCCCCCCATCGTCCCTCCCTCCCCCCCCACTCCCCCTTGCCCTTTCCAGGGCCGCTGGCTGCAGAACCAATGGTTGGGCTGTTGAGCCGCCATCCCATGTTGACCACTCATCTCCATACTGCATGCATTTCCTTCTCTCCCTCTTCCGACCCTCTTTCCTGCATGCTCTTCCTTCCTGCTCCCACCCTCCTTGCAGGGTCCCTGGTTGCTGGAGGTGGTGACAGAGCAGCTCTTATCACAACTGCAACAGAAGCCACGACTGGGCTGCTGACCTGAGCCACTCGCTGCTGTCCACACATCAGCATCCCCCCCCTCTCTCACTCCCTCATCTCCCTTCCCTCCTTGCAGGGTCGCTGGTTGCTGGAGGTGGTGAAAGAGCAACTCTTATCACAGCTGCAACAGAAAATGCCTCCCCAGGTAAAACTAGAGGGGCTGTGCTCCAGGTGCCATTCCCTCCCCCCCCCAAGGTATGGTCAGACTGATAAATTGCTTGTCGCATCGCCGCTTCTTGCTTCCTCTTCTTACTTTTCCCCCCTCCTCGCCACATCAGCCTTTCCTTTGGTAGCTTCAAAATCTTCTTCTCTTTCACTTCTCCCATTTCCAGGTGCAAGTGGTGTCTGTCCTCGTCTCCACTTCAGCCGTTTTTTTGGTCACCTAATGTCTCTCCTTTTCACTTCTCCCGTTTTCAGGTGGAGGTGGTGTCCCTCCTGAGGAAAATTTCACTTCTCCACATCAGCCTTTTTTTGGTCGCCTGAAATATTCCCGTTTTTCACTTCTCCCGTTTTCAGGTGCAGGTGGTGTCCCTCCTCGTTGCCACGTCAGACAAGAATCGCCGCCGAGACATCATCACACGCGCGCTGGCAGGGGGCGGCAAGCTTCCTGCGGAGGCGAGTCCGGGCGGCAACATGGGCGGCATTGGTGGGATGGAGCCACCAGAGGTGCATGTACCTGGAGCCAGGCTAGAGGAAATCATTTCCCAGGCGGACGACCTCGTTGCTGTGAGTGTCATGGGTACGGGTAAGAAGAGACATGGGCAAGAAAGGCATAGGCACACTTGGCATGGGCGGCATTGGCGGGATGGAGCCACCAGAGGTGCATGTACCGGGAGGCAGGCTGGAGGAGATCATCGCTCAGGCGGACGACCTCGTTGCTGTGAGTGCTTCTGAGCGTGCTGCTGTGAGGGCCTGGTTCTCCTTCATGTAGTCTGGTGAAAGGGTGACAGCAAGGGCATGGAACCACCGGAGGTGCATGTGCCGGGAGGCAGGCTGGAGGAGATTATTGCCCAGGCGGACGACCTCGTTGCTGTGAGTGCCATGGTCGGGCAGCAAAAGCATGAGCAAGAAATGCATGGGAAATTCCAGCATGGGCGGGGTGGAATTAGGAGGAGCATGTGCCTGGAGCCAGGCTGGAGGAGATGGTTAAAGGAGGCGGAGTTGCTTATGGGGAAAGCGTGTCAGGCATTCACGGCCCTCCCTTTTTTTGAGTCGACTCAAAAAGAAGCGTGTCAGGCATTCACGGCCCTCCCTTCCCCTCCCATGCATGCATCCATCCACCATACTCTCCCCTCGCTTCCCACCAATACCCAACTTCCACAACTATACCACCCCAGTCAATGGAGGAGCAACTCCCCATTCAGGACTGCCAGCTGCTGGCTCGGCCGCTGCTGGCAAGGGAGGAGGCACAATCGCTCATGGTGGGGGGCATTCAGTTCAGTACCTTCCCCTCCCCTCCATCCATCATACCCTCTCATCCATCCATCATACCCTCTCATCCATCCATCATACTCTCTCATCCATCCATCATGCTCTCCCCTCAACCCCCCACCCACCCCAGTCAATGGAGGAGCAACTGCCCATTCAGGACCGCCGGCTGCTGGCTCGGCTGCTGCTGGCAAGAGAGGAGGCGCGGTCGCTCATGTCGGGGGGCATTCAGGACCCTCGTAACGATGTGCGCCGCCTCAAAAACGTTCCCGAGGCTGAGGTACGGGAGGGATGGAGGTACGGGGAGGAGGTATGGCAGGAGGGAGGGAGGAAGCACGGTTGCTCATGGTGGGGGGTGTTCAGGACCCCCGCAACGATGTCCGCCGACTCAAGAACGTGCCCGAAGCTGAGGAACGGGAGGGGAAGGAGGTATGGCAGGAGGTACAGCAGGAGGCATGGTAGGAGGTACGGTAGGAGGGAGGAAGCACGGTCGTTCATGGCAGGGGGCATTCAGAACCCTCGCAACGACGTCCGCCGACTCAATAACGTTCCTGAGGTGGAGGTACGGGAGGGAGGTTTGGGGAGGTGGTGTTGGAAGGAGGGTACGAGGTGGAGGTATGGGAGGGAGGTATGGGGGGAAGGTCGGGGAAGAGGTACATGGAGGTGGTTCGGAAAGAGGTTTGGGAAGGAGTTATGCAGAGGAGGGAGGGAAGGGAAATGTCTGCTCGGTGTGCATGCCCGCGCTGCATGCGTGCAGTTTTTTTCAACGCTGTTGTCATCGAGACAACTCATGTATTGACGTTTGTTAGTTGACTCAACAGCAGCTCTGGCTTGATGTATTTTTGAGACGTCTCAAAAATACACTTTTAACAACTGGTGTGTGCCTGCCTCTTGTGTGTGTGTGCCTGCCTCTTGTGTGTGTTTTTGTGTGGCTCTGTGTGTGTGTGCCTGCCTCTTGCGTGTGTGTGTGCGTGGCTGTGTGTGTGTGTGTGTGTGTGTGTGTGTGTGCATCCCCGCTCCACACAGGTGCGGCTCATATCAACGCTGGTGGCCATGAAATCGCCAGACATGCTACGGAAGCGGATACTAGATGTCATGGAGGGGCGGGAGGAGGGCGAGTACAAGAAGGGCAGTGACGGGCCCATCAAGGTAGGCTGTGACGGGCATGCCGTGTGTGACAATATTGGCGGCCATGAAATCGCCGGACATGCTAAGGAAGCGGACATTCAATGTCATAGAGGGACGGCAGGAGGGCGAGTGAGTACAAGAACGGCAGCGTCGGGCCGGGCCCATCAACGTAGGTTATGCTTGCTTCATGTCAAGAGTCCTCCACACAGTTGCGGTTCATGTCAGCAATGGTGACCATGAGATCGCCAGACACACCGAGGAAGCGGATATTTGATGTCATGGAGGGGTGGCAGGAGGCCGAGTAAATGGAGGGCAGTGACGATCCTATGAAGGTGGGTGTGCCTTGTGTGGCACGTGAAGGAAACCATGCTTTGTGTGCTTTGGTTTTGTAAATGCACGCACGTTGTCTGCTTTGTGCTCTTTTGGAGGAATCTTGCTGGTGCGATAGGTGCCGTCACCTGCTGGAAGAAATGTGTTTGTGACTAAAGCATCTTGACCCTCCGCTTTGTTCTTAGACCCTTTGCACAGTTCTCAAACCCATGGCTCATGGACTTTCACTTTATTCGCTAACAATTTTAGAGGTCGATCTTGCGAAATTTCGGAATCAACTTTCACACCGTTTCTTAGTTTATGGTTTCCTTACTCTGTTTGCTGACATTCCACACTGCTCCCAGACCTTCTGTGCGTGATTGACATGCACACTAAATTCCATGTGCAATCGGCATTGGCAGGTTCAACAATCAAAAGGCTCTGCCCCTGTTCGGCCAGGTCACCTGCTCGACACTGTAACCAAGGTACACTTTGCATTTCCAAAAGCATATATGTTATTCAAAATAATGTAGCCACTGTACCAGTATGGCAAGTTACGCGGGTTCAATACTTTGTTCTGAGGTGCTGTTGCAGGTTCTTGGCGGAATGTATAGGACTGGAGGGTCAGGGGTAACGGTTCAACAACTTGAATGGGTGAGCAGTCTGCACTTTATTACATGCATTTGTATACGATGGTACTCAATAATTGGTCTGAGAAGTTATTGTTTGGTCTGTCGTCATTCGGTCTCTCTTCTTGTGTATTGTGCTTGCAGATACGAAAGGAGACCCTTGATGTGTTACAAAGAATAGGATACAGTCAATAACTGCATGCAGTTGACCAGGAAGGTCATGCTCGCATCACCACACATTGCGCATGTTGCACTGTGGACAAATAACGAGTTCATCGATTTAAAATAGTGGGTAGAGCAAAACTGTCGTGAACAGTTAATGGCACCAGCTGCTGAATGCTGGTTGTAGTATTGGGCTATGAGAGTACCAGTGCGCCCATTGTGGACGTGTGTATGAGTTTTGCGATACAATGTGAAACAGAAGAAGTTAATGTGAAATATTCAGTAATCCTGCTTATGGAAAAATAACACATAGATTGGGGTGTGAGAGGGATGGGAGGGGTTGTGGATAGAGAGGAAAGGGAAGTTTGATAGAGGAAGTACTTTGAAGGTATGTACCCGTCATTTCCTTACAAGCGTGTTACATGTAGTTTTGAAACGAGACTGGAACTGTTATCGAAGGCAAACTTCTCCGCCATGCGGAATTGCAGGCACTGGACCCTCAGCACTTTCGCGGGATCGCGCGGCAGTTCCTCGTCTGCGCGCGTGGCTCAGCTTCTCATTGGCTGCCGCAATTTTCTTCGCTTCTTCCATTCCCCTCCATGCGACCCCCCTTCCCGGTCCCTAGAACCTCTCGTGGATGCCCCGATTGTAAGCTGCCCGTGACACCCTGCTATCGGTCCGCGGTTCTGTACCTGGAAAGCATTTTTACCACTTGGTAAAAATGCTTTCCAGGGTGCCGCTGCTTAGGATTCCTTCCACCTTGCTAAGTCCCCTTTTTGGTAACGATATCAAAGGTCGACTTTCTCTCACTTGTGCAACCCATGGTTCATCAGGTTTTCCTGGGTTGCAGAGTTTGGGAACCTGTCAGCCTCCGTGCCGTAAACTACAAAATCCAACAGTGCAACAAGAAACTGAAAACGGCAATTCCAACCAAACCAGCAACAACTTCGTCCCAGCTGTGCTGCGCCTCCGCTTCGCCCCCCCTTCCTCTGCGACAGAATCGGGGAAAGGGTGAATGAATCGACTCTGCGACAACACCCGGGCCAAGTTCAGTTGAGACCAGAACAGGCAGGCATCCTGCTGTTGAAGCTTGGTGGAGTGGTGGAGCGAGGAGTGAAACTGAAGCTCGAGCGGGGGGGGTATTTTGCTGCAAGAGAAGATTGTTGTCAAGTGTGTCCGCTACCGACAGCAGGTCAGCTTTCACTCAGACTAGCTTTCAGTTTTCTCGCCTCAAGACTACCGGTGGTAGGCATTGTGGCGAACAGTACTAGGGACTTTCACCCTGTCAACGCGTGAAGCCTTCTCTGCTTTCAGAAGCGTTAGTCCAGGCAGTGATTCTGGGCGAGGTGCGTATCCTTCAATACCTTGTGTCATCTTTCCGCAAATTGTCCACCTTAATTATTTTTGTTTCCCGGTCCGCGTTATACTTCCACCACTTAGTTGCTCCGGACATTTACCTAACCCTTGTACTCACATAAGCGAGGGAGGCCGTAGCCGCGCCAACCACAACCTCGGTGTGTGGAACCTCGCGCCGTGGTTAAACGCCGTGGTTAAACCTGTCCTGAAACGCCTTGGTTACCCGACTGTGGGTTTCACCATAATATTCGTATCTCATCTTGATCAAATGTCCTGTTTAGACCTAATCCTCCCGATCCCCATGATGCGTCCTTTTCAACTCCCACCAGGTTCGCCGCCTGATCGAGTCCAAGGCAAGAAGCTATCGGAATAGCTGTTTCGCTGGAATAGCCAGCTGTTAACGCAAACAGACTCCAAACAGCCAACACTGGTAGCCGCTTTCACGGAGCTACCGATGTCCACCCGCCAGGTCATCAACAACTGCGATAGAAGCCTTACGATGTGGGGATAACTTCAACGTTAGCATCAGACATTATCACGTTAGAAAAAACCGTTACCAACAGCACTAACAGCAGCAGCTTATTACGATGGGGAGCGAGGCCGGTTTGAAGACGTTCTCAGCGGAGGAGCTCGACGAGGCCACGAATAACTACTCGCGGGAAAACTCGCTCGGTCGTGGTGGTTTCGGCACGGGCTACCGCGGAAAGCTCGCGGACGGTTCCGCCGTGCTTGTAATGAAGCTGAACCCCGACAACACCCGCCAGGCCGCGGAGAAATTCACCCGCGAAGTGACCATACTCACGCGCGCAGACCACCCGCATCTGGTCAAGCTCCTTGGGTACAATCCCGAGGCACGCTGTATCGTGTACGAGTCTCTTCCCGGGGGGACCCTGGAGGACCGTCTGCTGACGGAGGGGGGACGGAAAACGATGAAGCAGAAGCACCGGCTGCGGATCGCGGCGGAGGCGTCAGAGGCGTTGCTGTTCCTCCACCATCTCGACCCGCCGATTCTCCACCAGGACGTGAAACCCGGCAACGTCATGCTGAACGAGGATCTCTCCTGTAAGGTCGGGGGAGTCGGTTTGGCGAAGTTTCTCCCCGCGAACGACTCGTCGATTTGGGGAACGGTGGGCTACATCGACCCGTTGCTGCTCCGCACCGGGAAATACGGCCCGCAGTCGGATCTGTACGGTCTCGGGCTGGTGGTTCTGCAGCTGCTGACCGGCGAGAAAGTGAATAAGGTGCTCGAGTTCGCGAAATTCGGGCTGGAGGGGATTTTGGATCATTTGGATAAGACGGTTGACTGGAACCCGGAGATTGCGAAGGAGGTTGCTGAGGTGGCGCTCAAGTGCAGGGACAGGACGAACCGGCCGGATCTGGAGACGGTTGTGCTGCCTATGCTGAAGAAATTCGCGGAGCAGACGAAGGGGGAGAAGGACGCGGATGCTGCTCCGCCTGCCGCTGCTGCTGGTAGTGCTAAGGGTGGTGGTGGTGGTGGTGGGGCGAGTAAGGGGCATGAGAAGAAGGGAGCGGCGGCTGCTGCTGCTGCTGCTGCGCCGCAGAAGAAGTCGTTGTTTGGGTACTTCTTTGGCAAGCGGTGAAGGGAGGAGGGGATGGATTGAGGTTAAGGGAGGAAACTTTTGAGGCGCCTCATAAGTGCAGCTGCTGCTGCTGCGCCGCAGAAGAAGTCCTTGTTTGGGTACTTCTTTGGCAAGCGGTGAAGGGCGGTTGGTAGCGGAGGAGGTGAATGGAAGAGAAGGTTGCCAAGCCGCGAAAGGAATGGGTGTGAGGGACATGTGTGGGCAGTCACATATCTGTGTTAGTGGCAGCGGGGGTGGTGTGAGGGAGGCTGGTATGACACTATTGCGCTGCATGTGGTGCTTAAGACAAGCATGCAGCAGCAGCAGCAGCAGCAGCAGAGGAACAGTTTGGTTGTAGGGTTGGTGGCACCATAGGTAGAGGCTCAGTTAGGGCCTGAAGCAGAGTGGGCTTTTGGGTGGGTCAACTTAGAAGGGTTACTTGCTGGAGGGAGGATAGTAATATCCGAATCCATTGCATGTGCGAAGCAGAAAAGGTTGGTGATGGGGTTGGTGGCTGGTGCTACATTAGGTTTTTGTAACATCAACGCGAGAGTAGGTGGTGGGGTTTGTGCTACAGTAAGTACTGGCTCAGTTAGGATCTGAAGCAGATGAGAGTTGGAGCTTTGTTGGGGGGGAGAGGGAAAGGGGTACGGTGGAAAGAGGTGGGGGAGGTAAGCCATGGGTGAGTGGTAAGCAGCTGTCCCTGCCTGGGTATGGCTGGGCCTGGCTGAGGGTGGCTGGCTGGGTGTGACTGGCTGGGTGTGGATGAATTTTGCAGCTGGACATATCCTGTGCTGCCATCTACGTATTGTAGTGTAGATTAATACACTGTAGATGTTATGTGGTCACCCTTTTTTGGGAATGAGCGGGGTTTGTATCAGGCTGGCGACAATATGATTTGAGATCTCGTACTTCAGTATATGTTGACTAATGTTCTATGTAGCAAGTATTACAAGTCATTGCCGTATTGTTATGAGTTGTAAAAGAGAGTGCGCAGGTAAACGAATAACGAAGCTGTGACTGAATCAACTGCGAATACAATGAATGCACAGACTAATGTAGGACTACTCTAGCTAGGAGGAAACCTCGGACGAGCGAGGTTGGGTGCAGGTTTGGCGATGGGAAAGCCGAAGGTGACGTGAGTAGCCTCGGCAGCGTTGAAATCGGCCGAACGTGCGAACTCCAAAAATCGGGTTGTACGCGAAGCAGTCAACCCCGATAAGGAATTCGGGAAAATTCCTTACACCACCCCCCCCTTCAAGAAAGGTAGTCAATGGCCGAAACACGCCGTCGCGCCAGATAATCACCAACAAGTGTCGAGTGTGAAACAAGGAAAACAGGAATGAAAAATGACTATGGAAGATTGGGTACAAATACAACCCTAGAAACCCTGTACCCCAAATATGCTACCCCACTATAGCCTACAGAAACTATGTCATATAAATCTGACACACCCCCATAGGCAAAGTGGGGGAGAACAAGGGGTCACAAGACCAGTCAGGTAAAGCAAAGCAGAGCAAGCTCAGGGTGGATCACAACGTCACCACACAGTCCGAGCACAAGAGCAGGGCCAGAGGCCAGTTCACATGCAGGAGTACAGACATATATATATAGAACTAGACAAGCAAGAGCAGGTATAAATATATGTAACAGTACAAGTGAAGTCAAGAGGAGAGCAAGTGAGGCAAGACAGACACAAGACCCAGCTGGGTGCAAAAGCGCTGATGGTCACAAGGCGCGAGTGCCTTGGTGAACACATCAGCAGTGTTGGCCTCAGAGGCCACGTACGCAAGTCGCAACTGACCACGCTGCTGCAGCTCACGAGCAAGGAAGTAGCGGAGAGCAATGTGCTTCGTTCTGTGCTCCAAGCGCTGCTCTCGACACAAGGCCAGCATGGCCTTGTTGTCTGCGTACAGCACTGGAGGAGAACGAGGCGGCTCTCCAAGGTCAGTCAGCAGGTAGGTGAGCCAGCGAAGCTCCTGTGCAGCCATGGCCCCGGCGTAGATCTCAGCCTCACAACTGGAGCCGAGAACCGAAGACGAGCGAGTAGACCGCCACGAGACAAAGCCGGAACCAAGGCTGAAGGTGTAACCCTGTGACGACCGCTGCGTAGCCTGGTCGTCAGCCCAAGAAGCGTCCGCGTGGCCGGTAAGGACCACTGGACTCCGCCCTCCAAGCACTAGCCCCATGCCCGACGTGCTGCACAGGTAGCGCAATACCCTCTTCGCTGCAGCCATGTGCTCTGGTCTGTGTCTCCCAGGAGCAACATAGCGAGCAAGAATGCTCAGAGGGTATGCAAGGTCAGGTCGTGTGCAGGTCATCAGGTACATGAGGCAGCCAACAAGCTCTGCATACGGGCCACTCGACTCTACGGACTCATCCGAAGGCAGAGCTGAGAGTGAGTGGCGAGTAGGCAGAGGAGTGGCCTGAGGCGAGGAGTACGTGAAGCCGAAGCGCTGAAGGACCTGCTGCACCATGTGTGACTGAGTCAAGGTAATGGTGCGGCGTGCTCTGTCCCGAGTGATCTGCAAGCCAAGGTAGCTGCGCAGTTCACCCAGGTCTGTGCACGTGTGTCTCTTCAGCAGCTCGGACTTCACGTAGGCGAGTCCAGCAGTGTCCGCTGTGGCAAAGACCAAGTCGTCGACGTACACGAGGATGTAGAACGGCGGCAGGGAAGTGTCGGTGCGAAGAAACAGCGACGGGTCAGCAGTAGAAGGAGCAAACCCAAGAGCCGCAAGCGTAGTCCTCAGTGTGTCGTGCCACTCACGCGGTGCCTGACGGAGACCGTAGACTGGCCGTCGGAGGCTCCACTGGGTGCCAGGAGGGAAAGTCCCAGTGAAGCCAGGTGGACGGCGAAGCCAGATCTCCTCGTGCAGGCTACCCTGCAAGAACGCAGTGCTGAAGTCGAGAGAGTGAAGCTCGTAGTCGCGCTGAGCGGCTATGTGCAGTAGCACCCGAAGAGTAGTCATCTTCGGGGTGGGAGAGAAGGTCTGAAAGTAGTCAACTCCCTGCCGCTGACTGAAGCCACGAGCAACGTACCGTGCCTTGAAGACAGGTGGAGAGCCCGGCGGCCGCTTCACCCTGAAGATCCACATGCCACTGACGATGTTCGCCCCAGGAGGGGGAACCGCGTCAACGTAGGTGCCTGTGGACTTCCAGGAAGCCATCTCTGCATCCATAGGTGCCTGCCACTGAGAGGAGTAGGGACCCTCTACGGCCTCCGCGTAAGAACGCGGAGTCGGGATGTCTAGTGCATCCGGGTCTCCCTCAGGGGCAAGCAGTACAGACGCGAGATGAGGTGAAGCAGCCGCTAGACACTGTAACTCCTCCTGCCTGTCCTCTAGGACGTCCGTGCCAAGAGCACACTCACCCCCGACGGACGGAGGACAGACAGACGCAGACTCAGCAACAAGACTAGCAGCGTAGTCGAGACGACAGCGAGCAGCAAAGTCGACGAGCTCAGCGACTAGAGCAGACGCAGCAGTGGACTCAAAAGAGGGGTCAGTGACGACAGTAGCAAGCAGACGCGTGACAGTAGGACTGGCAGCACGAAGAGAGTCCGACTCAGGGTCGGCAAGCGCAGGAAGAGAGGACTCAGGAGGAGAAGGCAAAGGGGCACGCAGAGGAGCAGTGGACGGACGCAAAGACATCCGGTGCGTGCCAGGGACAGGAGGAGGACGCTGACGCGAACTGCGACCACTAGCGCGAGCAGCACGAACAGGCGACGCGGGACGAGACGCAGGCTCACGACGCTCAGCAAGACCTCCAGTAGGACCAGTGTAAGGAGAGGGAGCAGGCAGTGGAGAGGAAGGCTCCAGTAGGGACTGCGACTGGACAGGCGGTGGACCCTCTACTGGAGGAGAAAGACCAAGAACCTGCTGCAGGAGCGGAACGAAGTACGGCCGAGGCCGCGCGGCAGCTCCAGACTCAGCAGGGACAGCACCAGCACCCTCAGCGACAGCACCAGCGCCACCCACACCTCCAGCGGCAGGACCAACAGCAGTGGGCTCAGCACCAACGCCCTCAGCAGCTCCAGCTCTAGGAGGACCAGTAGGTCCAGCAGCTCCGGGACCGGCAGCACCCGCACCCTCAACGGTCGAAGAAGCTCCAGCTCCAGCTCCAGCAGCACCTCCAGACTCAGCAGCACGCCTCCAGCGGCGAGCGAACCACTCGCGCAGCTCTTGTGGAGAGAGGGGCTCCCGGCGAGACGCAGCAGCAGGAGAAACCCCAGGCTCAGTAGCTCCAGACGCAGCACCCCCAGGCTCAGCAGCTCTCAGCTCAGCACCCCCAGGCTCAGCAGCTCCCGACCCAGCACCCCCAGACCCAGCACCTCCAGGCACAGCACCCCCAGGCTCAGCACCCCCAGGCTCGGCACCCTCCGCAGTAGCACCCTCAGGCCCAGCACCCCCAGCAGTAGTACCCCAGGGCTCAGCACCCCCGCGCACAGCACCCCCAGAGTCAGCACCCCCAGGCTCAGCACCCGCAGCAGCACCAGAGTCACCAGTAACCTCGACCGGGTCAACGGCGTCTACCTGGGACACACCTGAGGGGGCAGGAACCTGAGGGGGGAGGGGGTCTACCGGGGGGGGAACCGGCACAAGGAAGTCCGGGGGAGGGGGGAGGGAAGGAGTGCGGTAGGGGAAGAGACGGTAGAAGGGGACTGACTCGTCGAACGTGACGTCCTGGGAGGACAGAACACGACGAGAGGAGGGGTGGTAAAACTGCCACCCTGGGGCGTCAGTGGGGAAGCCAAGGAAGACACAGGGAGCAGCACGAGGGGACAGCTTGTCCGCAGACAAGTCGCGGACAAACGCCCGAGATCCCCAGACACGGAACACAGACGCATCGCCAACCTTCCCCGTCCACAGCAAGGCTGGGGACATCGCAGGCCGAGAGACCCGGGGGTGAAGGTTGAGCTGATGCGCCGCGTACCTCACCGCAAACGGCCACAGAAAATGGGGGGCAGCCGCATGCATCATGGACGTACGAGCGACATCCATGACCATGCCAATGCGGCGCTC